ACTATCGCACGACGAGGCGGCTGGGAAGAAGCTGCCCAAGCCGAAAGCTGGTGAAAGCTGACCAGGAGTCTCCAGCTTCGTCTCGAAGGCTTCGGGCCGGCCCAAGTTGATCGTCACAACCTCCGGCCCAGCGGTGTCCTTGCGCAGATATACTCGCGCGAGGCCCTGATTCACAATCCTCGGCGTGGGCAGTGGAGCCGCAAGACCGTGAGGACCAAGCCAACTTGAGCCCAGAGGCTGGATTTTCTCCACCTTGCCTTTCATCAGGTACTCGCGCAGCATTTCCTGCATCGTGACCTGCCAAGAAGCACCAGAGCTCGACAAGCTACTGTACTGTATGTTTGTGTTCCGCGCTTACGTAACATGACCGAAATCCACTGACGCAAAACAACCCGCCACATCGTCTTACAGGAAGACGTAGGAACCAGCTCGCTGCCACCATCTGTACCAGCACGACAGTATTACGACTGAAGCCTCGCCTGCTGAAGTTGCAACCACCGGACACCACTCTTAAAACGATCGACGCAGCCACCACTACTACTAGCGGCCACCACTGTCGCCACTCAACAACTTCCAAAACCGTCACAACACGGCGCCGACAGCAGCGGCCGCACCCAGCCACCACAACCCCTACCACCATGCCGCTCCCACCCCGCCACCGCCAGGTTTCATGCAACAGCCGTACAACCACCCACGTTGCATCGCCATGAAGCTCAGCTAAGCATTTTGACACTTTACTACGTGGCCCCGCCGCAACATGCCAAGAGAAACTATCCTGAAAAGCCAGACACCTCGCATTTCAGCCTTTTGCCTGCAGGCCTTCTGGCCGTCAAGTGCAGATGCAGAGACGCAGAGTCAATCAAATGCAGGCCGCTCTTCACTTTTGAAGCGAACCATATGTCCTGCATGTGCGTCGGGGGGGTTCCTTGTTGCGAACCTTTTTCGTGCAATGCAGATGCCTGCAGGACCGCAACAGTGAGAATGCTATGACACACTCTGGACGACACCGAGCACATTCAGTCTGCAATCTGCCAGACTTCCGTGCCAGCATACACCGTCTCTTCGTTGCTGGAGTCCAAGTCCAAGTGCACCTCTAACTCCTCAGCCATGGCCCGGAACTCTTGACCGGACCCAGGGTGTCTGCTCAACTTTCGGCAGATGGCCACCGCCCGCTGTAAAGTGGAGGCTGGGAACTGACCGGGAAGCTGGCTTAATCGCATCATGAGGGCCGGAATCATGTCTTTCAGGAGTATGTCCTTCATCGTGTCACGCCGCCTCGAGCCATCGAGGCTGGGCCTGGTCATCCAGTCGTTCAGATCATCCTCAGAAAGCTTCTCTAGGTGGCCATGCAGGACTTCAATGGCCGCCGCGGTGCACCGGCCTAATCGATCAAGCTTTTCGCTGCCTTCGCCATACCCGGCTAAGCTTTTGGACCAGTCCGGCGCCGGTCCGCGTACGCGGGACCAGACACGACTCGTGCCCCACGGCACAAACGTCGGTTGGGCTATGCATCTTCCGAAAGCACGGACGCTCAAGATCTCGTAGTAAACCCCCAGAAAGCATTCCTCCAGTCCCAGCTTCAAGCCGCCTGCTGCAGCAGCAGCTGCATGCTGGTGGCGTACGTAAACAAAGTCTACCCTTGCTGCAGGAATCAGCTCTGTGTTGGCCTGACACAAGTCTACCAAAGCTGACTGGAACTCATCCGGATCGGCAAAGTTTGTGCAGGGGTACTGTCTCTTCGGATCCCAGGGCGACCACAGGGAACGCCTGAATGCGAGTGTGCCTGGATGACCTCCGTCGCCACAGCCTCGGCCTTCTGGAGGCCCAAGCCAGAACTCGTCGTCTTCCAGAAAGTACCAAACTCCAAAGGTCAGGGCCGTGCACGCTACGCGACCTTGACAAATCGGTTCAACTTGCTCTCGCAGGCGTGTGGGGCCGTAGTAGTCGTCATCGTCCCACTGCAGAATCACAGATCCTCGCGCCTGCTCTACTGCGAAATTCCTCTTCGCGCCAATCGTCACTGGTTCCTGCAGGTGAAAATATCGAATCCTTGAAAACAACGTCCTGTCGTGCCATCTTCTACGAATGAACGCCTCCAACGGTGGCTGCGAGGAGTCCACAAGCAGCACTTCTATCTTCTCTTTTGGGTAGTCCTGCTCGTTGATAAGGCCTAAAGCATGGTCCAGAAGCTCCGGTCGGTCTCGAGACACAAGGCTGATCGACACTTCCAGCATAGAGCCACGGCCATGCTCGATCCGACCCTTTCCTTCGTCCCCTGCAGGTTTCTTTTTAAGTTCCCAGAGCTACTGGCACCTGCGGGTGGACTGCGCATGCCTAGATTTACTAGAGGTAGAGGAACCCAGCTTCTCCCCGATTGTGCGAAGAGAGCAGCACTCCGCGGCTCGTCTCAGACCGAAAGTTGGCAGTCACATATCCGTGAGGATCCCACGAAAAGCAGCCCGCTTGACTGACCGGTTGATGATCGGCTACTGCAGAGGCTACATGAGCTCTCTCTCACCATTTCGGTAATTAATTCAGTCACTCTTGCATCATCATTTCTCACCATGAACACAAAACGCAACGCTTGTCGCCAATAGCTGTCTACATGTCCTCGTGCCTCCTGCCCCCCATTGTCACTATCGCCGGCCAGGAAGAACGACGAGCCAAACGCCACAGCGCCTTCGCTCTCTTGGGACAGAACACGAGTCTGAAAGTTGATGCTTCCGGCTTCCGATGCCTCCCGCTGCCAGCACCATTAGTCTCATCCTGCCGGTGAGTGTTGAAACGGTCTACTCTCTCTTTGGCGTTAATTACACAGGTCGCATTCCAAAAAGGGGGTGACCTCTAGTACTCAGTACCAGTTGTGTCCATAGGCTTTCGTGCAACTTCTGCCCATGGTGATTCTGTCATAACATCCACTTGAGACAGAGGAGAACAAGCTCGTTCGGTGGGCTCTCTCACCCTCTCCAACATCTCCGGTGCCTCTGGGCTTCTGGTGTCTCCTGCGACAGCCGGTGAGCACGCAACATTCCGGGGATCCTCCACAGTCGCCGTGGAAAAGCTCAGTCCTTGCCCTTCTCAGGGCCCTCCTTCCCTTCGGCTTTTCCTTCAGTCCAGCCACGCGCTGACGCTGACTGGATACGGTGAATGAACCGTAAGAACCGTAAGAGTACTGTTATTAGTGTTGGTGATGTTGTTATTACCAGAACTATTATCAGTATTTTGGAAGCGTCCCGTCCTTCCGCCTGCGCCTTGTGCTTCCCGCTTTCTTCTGCCTGCACATCTTCTACCGGGCTGCAACCAAGGTTGCTGAGCAGCGCAACCAGAGGACGGGGTTCTGAACTCGGTGCCAAGTTGCTGGAGTTTCTTTAGGACCGCTCTGCCTCGAAAGAAAATGGCACACAGACTCAGCACAGGAGTCTCGAGAGCTGAACTCTGCAGCGTGGCCTCTCTTTGCTGACTTCTTCGGCTTTGGGCTTTTCCTTTGCTGCTCACTCCAGCGCACACTTCCTGTTTGACTCCAGCCGCGTAACGTTCCGATACTCACGCTCAAACTCGCAATTTTCGCTCACACTCCACCTCAAACTTCTTCTCGCAGTGACTTGCACCCTTTCAGATCCCAACGGAGCTCGCATTCATACAAACCTCTCAATTTTGATCACTCTTGACGCCATACACGCAGGCATCGCGGCTGCGTGCCAGCCATTTGATCACTCAGTGTCTCTCTGGCTCTAGGTCTCACTTCTCTCTCGCACACACACACACACATACGAACATAGTATTTCGAAACACTCCTCTGGTTCAAAGACTCAGAAGCCCAGAATTAGAATTGTAATGGAGCCAAGTCTCTGGTGTCTCCTTTGGCCCGCTCCTTGGATGCACACATGCTTGAGGCACGAGAGCGAGAAGGAGCCAGCGACAAACGAAGAGGGCACTTTTCTTGGTGAGAGGCCCTTCAACAAGTATCTGCATGACGCTCAACCGGGGGCGACCGCTGAAGTGCAGAAAAGTCTCTTGCTGGCTTCGGTCTGCTTGGGCGGCTCCTCGGAAACTTCTGGCTCAAATAAATGCAAGCCAAAGGACACTGAATCTACACGCTGAAAAAGAAGCTGCAGGCCAGGATGCCGCCTTTCCTCCCGAAGTCTCACCTCTTCCGGCCTGCGCATTTGCCAACAGCGAAACCCACGCCGAGCAGACTTGCAGAGCTGCCTTGAGCTGAGGAGCTAGGTTGACCCAAACAGGAGTGTACATCGAAATGCTCATGATACACGACGTCAATGACCGTTTCTCTAGGCAGCTGCCTCTTTGGCTCTGCCTTTGAAGAAGCCCTCGAAACCTTTTGGAGGCTTGCCCTCACCTGAAGGACGGGTACACTGCCGCGCGTTCAAGGAGACTTTCCGCAGAAACTGCAAGCCAAGCGTCCGCTACAGAAACGTAGGCCTGACCGGCTCCTCAGTCGCACGCGGACGATAAGCTCCAAAAACAGTCCGATGCTCATGCTGGAGGAAGCTCATGCGAAGTTTCCAGCTACGCCTGAAACTCACCACCAAGGCGCTTTAGGTGCGAGGAGCGTCGTAACGCCGAAGCCACCTAGAAAAGAGCTGCTGAGGACACGCATCTACAAGCGGCACACTGGTACGGCTTAGGCCCAGGAGGCTCATCTGAAGGACTTGGCTCGTTCAGGGCATCGGATCACAGTTGGTGTGGATGTGTTACAGGCTTGCCACTTGCCGGCGCCCAGCGCCGACGCGTCGCATTGTGGAGAGCATGTCCTGTCACACTGGCAGAAGGCAGAAAACCGCATAAACCCGCATGGCGACGCTCTGTCTTCCTCCCGCCTTCCCCAGCAAGGCTGTGGGCTTCTCTTGGATTAAAAAACCCTCCAAGAGCAACAAATGTCTGCAAGAATTCAAGAATTTCGAGTGGCAGGCTCATCATGACAGCTTCCGGCTGAAGCTCCAGCCCTGGCCCTCAAAAGCAGCACAGTCCGTGGCTGGCACCGGTGCCAGCTTCTTTGACAGCCCGGGGATGTGAGCCTGAACGACCACATCACCCATCAACTCCAAGACGACGCTGCGAACATGAGCCCCTAAACCCCAAACCCTAAACCTCATACGGGATATGAATCCCTGTGATGTGATCTCCGAGGTGGCCTAGCCACCCCCCCCCCCGTCACCCCCTCAGTGCAGTGGGTGCCTGCAAGAGGGCCACGGGGCATCGAATCGAATCTCGGCTTCGGCTCTGGATCACGGTGACCGTTTGCCTCGAAAAAGCGAGAGTGAAATGTCCTGGGCTCTTTTGCCTCTTGGGGGTTTCTCTCTTGCTTGCTTGCTTGCGAGGCGTTTGGGAGGGTAGGGGCAGCCCCTACACCCCCTGCGCGCGAGCGCTACGCCGTTGTTCATGTTCGGTGTGAGACTTTGTGATGCGTGATGGCCAGGCAGGGTGTGTTGCCATCAAAGCCCCGTGCCTTACAACCCCCGTGCCTTACAACCCCCGGTCCCCGCCTGGCCGTTCTCGCATGTGTTGGTGCAGTCATTCCGTAGGTTTTCTACCGCCATACTGCTAGTGTTCCCGAGCTGGTTTGTACAGTATTGCGACAACGAGTATGAGATTGCCTGCATGAAGTCGAGATACCGGACGTTTACAGCTCAGGTCAGACTTGTGCATGTGCAAGTGTTGGTTTCTCTCTCTCTCTCTCTCTCTCTCTCTCTCTCTGCCGTTGCGTCCAGAGGGTCTAGCAGCGCCAGGCAACGCATGAGGCTAAAGCCCTCTTGGGGGTTTAGGGTTTAGGATTTAGGGTTTGCGCTCTCGCAACTCGGACAAGCCAGACGAGGTCTCTGAGTTCGGGTCGGCCAGGATTCAACGTTTAGGAGTTAGGGTGGGCCCTAATGATTTCCTATACTAGTCTGGAGGTTCCCTATTATAGTTATAGTATAATATGAGCTGGGCTCTTTTGCCTCAGGGGGGGCCGGAGCGGGGATGGGGGGGGTTGGAGTGCGTGTGAGTGTGTGATGCTCTTGACCGCCCTTCGGCGAACGATGGGTTGCGCCCGACATCATGGACCTCCGGCTGGGGCGCAGGCAGCTGAGTTCCTGCAGCATTGTGACATTGTGTCTGCGGAACTCGCCTAGAAACAAACTTGGGAAATGGGAGCAGTCCTTCTTCTCGGTTCCTGGTGGCGTTGAAGGAAACACCTGCGATATATCTTGCTTTCTGAATTAGATTGGCTGTTCCACCAGTCCACACAACCAAGGGTCTCGCATGTAACTGGGTCCAGCTGGGCAGTCCCTGTGAAACTCCGCCTCGCCACACTCGCAACTCTCAGAGCCGCACGATGAGCCTCCAAGCATCTGCGGCTCGGGCCCATCCATGGAAAGATTGGCTCGGAATTTCCCATTGCCATCCTGACTATGGCATGGTGGGCCGGGCAAGGGACCAGAAGCGCCGGCATCGGCAAACATCACTCGAATCCTGCTTGCGTCGTTTTGGCTGCGGCTGCATTTCAAAGATGTTGGAACTTGAGGTGAATCGCCCATCCGGCAATTCATGGCAAGTCCGCTGTCCGCTCGTTTGAGTCTGCTTCCGAAAAGCAGCTACAGATCTGACTGACTGCTGCTCCAAAATCTGCCTGAGATGGCTCCCAGCCACGACTCGCTTTAGCGACGAGGCAGGAAACTAAAGAGGGCTTCGCAAGTCCTGTACAACTTTCTGCTGCGCGAGCCTTCCCAGCGGTCTGTTGAAGAGGGGGCGACAGTCGTCAGAAGCTAGTGGTGTTTGAAGAACGTTAGCATAACTTGACAACTGCTTCTTTGGGTGATCTGCTGTGGCAGGCTCGGGTAGGCAGGATATAAGCACCCCATCTACGCTTAAAAATGATGCGTAAGTAACACACGGTCTCCTTCGGAGCCGGCTTGGATTTAAAATCACAAGTGTGGCGGCGCACTTCTGACTAAACAGCCGAACCTGTCTCTCAGCTCGACTCGGCACGGGTCGCCCTGGAGATCCTTCTCAGCCTCAATGCACGGATCGAGAGTTGCACCGGGAGTGGGTACAAAGGCACAAGAAGCAAGTTTTCCAACCATGGCCGAGCGAATCCGAGTGACGGCGGCCGGGAGCAAACCCAGGCCCACTACATCCGCTCCCTGACGTGAAAGCTTCCAAACAGGGAGAGATCTCCGATCTCCGCAGGCGAGCATGGGATCTTAGGCCGCGGCTGCCACATACGGGAATCCAGCTTGGACAGCCCACGAGACAGTGGTGATGCCGTCATGTGCGGCTGGCCCATGCTCACATGGGACCGAGATGCAGTGAGAGAAGCACATCCAACATTAGGATCTTGCGCCTGGCAATGGCTGTTAGCAGTGTACAGGCTCCAATGCGGACAGCTGCGTGCCTGGAATGTCAAAGAGCTTGCAACCGAAGCACTTGGCACCTGACATAGCACGAGCATGCATGAGGCTCGCATGCAGTGGCATCCACCCCCGAGTCCGAGCCCTGATTGAAGGATGCAGGCTCATTAACGGAAAAGAAGCGGCTCGGGCCTCGATCTCGGCCACCCGCGGCGCTCGCCGTCGATCATCCTCGATGAAGCGGAAGCGGCGGCAAACTTCATCCACCTCCGAAACCCGGCGCCGGAAAGGCTTCCACCCGCAAGGGTACAGCGCTGTAGGCGCTATCTTCGGAAACAACACCAGGCCTGAGCTCGCAGCACCTGAAAACGAGAGCGGAGAGCACCGAAAGGCACTTCTTTGTTTCTTCTTATGCCTTTCTTGCGTCTTCAAGAAAAAAGGCTGGCGGCTGGCCTTGATTGAGGTCAGCGGTGAGAAGGGCAAAGCCAGGATGTTCACCAGTCGCTTAACCTGGAGGCATGGCGGAGCTCGAGAGTTCTGAAGCTTGCGAACACTTCTCCCAAACAGACATGTCGTGCCTTTCTGTACATGTATGTAATGTTCTGGCTCTCTCCCAAGCCCGGAACTGGACAAATCGAAATGCTCAGGAGGAAACCGAACGGACAAGATGCTCTCCACGTTTGCTGATCTCCTCCAGCCACAACAATCGTCGGCAGGCACGGCAGTGCTACCGCTCTGAAGCGAATGTCATGCGAAACTCGCCTGGTAATAGTCCGCCGACGGAAATTCAAATTGAGCATCTGCCAGCGCACTCACAATCTCCAGCTGATCGGCTGAGTATGCCTTGTCCAGGGCCTGAGCAGCATGCCGCACAGTGTCGGTCGCAGCGTCCACCAGAACGGACTTCCAAGAACTCGGGCCATGCTCAAACATCTGCTATGCAGAGCCTACATTAAACTGCCCCTGGTCACAAGCACTTAACAGGAATCAAGAAGGCTGGTTCAGCATGAAACTACATCAGCTTGGACTTCTCGAATCTGCAAGTGCACAATCCCCGCGGCAGCCCAATCCCATCTGGGTAGTTGTCAGAATTATGGCCCCTTTTTGTACCCTAAATAATAGGTGCCGTATTATATTAGGTACCCAAAAACGGACCCTAATTTTGACAACCACCCGTCTCCATTCGATTAACGGGATGCAGTATTCGCGGCGCCTCCAGTATGTCAAGAAACTTGTCGTCGCGAAGAATTCCAGACATGAGCACCACCAAGATGCAATGAGCAGTCCTGTCGGACCCATACTTGCTACAACGAAGGGAACAACAAGCCGCATCGAGCTGCTATCGATTCCCTCCGGGCACACTGTCCACCAATACTGCTTCGTTCGGCTGAGAATCCGTGCTGCATTGACTGCACTTGCTTTGTTGTAGGCAACCAATACATTCTTGCGAGTTCGCTCCATGACCAGGTCCCTCATCACCTGACAATGCGCACCAGGCAGGTGTGCTAATTCACTCGGAGACTCTTCGCATCCATGCCCACATGCCTGGCACGCAACTCTACCTTCGGAGCTGCCCATGCAGCCAACAACCAGTATGTCGGCATCCGGATCCTCTGCCTGCGGCGGAGTGGATGGATTGCCAGGGGCTCTGAAATTCCACGTACCTTTGACTCCGAGGCTGCAAGCACTCGGAGCCTATCCTTCCCCGAAAAATATGAACCTGAGAAACGCCAGCTCAACAGTAGCCCTACGGAACTGCATGGAAGCCGACCCCAACGGTTCACAAGAGCCTCCATGGACAGCGTCTTCTCGACGAAACTGCGCTGTATTTTTACTGACCTTACTGCGATCTGTGGCAAGACCATCCCTGGAAACCGTGTATAGACCGGTGTCGTCCAACAGTCTGGCATACTGCAGACAGGCATCTCAAGCAAGTTCGACACCAGAGCCGTTTGTGTTCCTTTTCTGGGCGCGAATAAGGATGAACAGCGAGTTAAACAGTGAGAAGAATGACTGCGAACTCCCCTCCCTCCGCTGCATCCAGATGGTCCCACTCACCCGCCGGTTCAGCAGAACTCCCCCGCAGCTTGGGAGCGGTGCGGCGCGAACGCATCATATTCAAGAAGCGGCGCCTTTTCCAAAGCTCTGTAGCTGTCCTGAACACAGCAAGAACCCCTCCATGTTGCCATCACAGTTTCGACTCGCACACTCGCACTCGCAGGCACGGCTTCATGGTCTCAGTTTGCTACCTTTACTACCGCTACTACCGTGACATCTCCAGTCAGTGCTTCTGCAATGCCGAAAATAATGAAGTAAGTAAGCAGTCATCTACATAGACGTAGCAAAATTAGGATGCGCTGTAGCACTAACTGCAATGTCAGGCTGTCTGGGCTGCGGGGGTGCCCGATTCAGCACCCGCTCTGTTTCAAGTTGTCACCGCGAGGATACACTGAAGGACTCGCATAACAACTAATCGCTCGGGGAAGACCCCTCATAAAATCACTTGCAGGGCATACTTTGCACAGGCCAATCTCCCGCGCCCAACTGCTCACATCCGGGGACATGAGCTCGCTCGTGGTCTTGAATTCCCATTCAGCGAATTCAACGAATTCGCGTTCCGTGAGTTCAATGAATTCAACGAATTCAGCTGGCTTGCCCAAGCGAACCCAAGCATGCAGGTTGATCCCGGTGCTGGTTGTCCCACTGCTGATTCCAAAAGCCGCCACACGGTGCAGCACCAAAGTACTCATGCTTTCTTGTAGCCCAGTCGTCACAATTGCTTGTCAGCTGCAACGAGGGACACAGCCTGGTGTCAGTTCAAAACGCAGCTGGATTCACGAAGCTGCCCGGTAACATGTCCTGACCTGCAAAAAAAGCCCAAGCGCCATCAATTCTTATCTTCCCAGTATGGTAACCGGTAAGGACGCAGGCAAACATTGTGACGTGCTGTTCACGCAGCCATGGTAATAGTTGTTGTTTCAGTCTTCAGAAGCAGAGGAGCCTGACACCATCATCCTCACTTGGCCAGCATGCCAACGTAGTGTCAGCCGGGTGTCTTTGTAAAGCCGCCATTGCATGACACACAGGCACGGCTTGGTGGTTTGCATTACAGGGACTAGGAAGGAAGGGGTGAGTCAGGCTAGCAACGTGCCCCGAAAACGAGAAGACAACAATGCAGGTTGGCTTCGAGACTCCTAGCCCATCACATTCGCCCAAAAGCAGCAGCCAGAACCACCACCCACCAGAGTCTTGTGGCGAAAAGGGGGTGCCCGCAATGTTACACAACTGCCATGTTTCCAAGGCATGTTTCTACAGTTTAGAGATCACTGCCCTGTGAAAGTAGAGACCCAACGTGCTGCTGTGGCAGCGACCTCTCATCCTCAATCTGTGATACTCCAGGGGACTGCCTAATGTACACTAAACGGCCTCCTGCCCAGTAACTTGAAGAAAGTGCTTAAGCGACATCACATGTTTGTTGGGTCACTCCCCCCAAACCCCACAAGTGGAAGTGTACATCCAGTTGTGGAGGCAGCACATCCTCCACAAGGTCTGGATCCAGAGCGCTCTGGGCAAAGATCATGATGTCCGAGGGTGACCATCCTGATCGATCGATCGTGGAGATCCAGGATATAAAAGTATACTGCTCACTACTTTTCGCACTCGACTTCCGATTTTGACCATGTGCCTGCCCGCAGGCTTGCAAAGCCATCGACATCATAGAAGGCGAAGTCTGAACATCTTACCTGAAGCTGTAGCGGGCTTGTGTTCTGGTTCTGCGCTTGACCAAGAATACCGCATGTCAACGTGGCTGAGTATTCTAGCATGATTTCCTGCTTTCAACGACCCGAACATCGAACAGCTGCCCAAGCACAAGAACCACTCCGACGTTGTTCCTCATAGCCGTCGCTACCTGATTTGTATGCTGAGAGCTCGACAGTTTGCAGGGAGCGGTGGAAAGTTGGTGCCGGGTGGCTTCGACTGCGCACCAAGGTCTCGTCAGAGTCATTTTCGTGGCCACAACTACAAGTGTCCTAGTCTGGTGCTTGACAATGTCCCCGATGTCCTGCCACAGACTAGGGCCGTCATTGACCTGCAGATCGGCATGATTCCCACATTTCGCCGAGCTTCCGCCAACCCCTCAAGTTCATCCTGAGATGCGGCCGGATAACTGGCAGGGGTGGAACTGAGCGAACAACATCAGTAATATGCAGCCATGCCACAGAGTCGAGGAAGATCTTAGCTTTGTGAGCCCTTAGCCGTGGCGACGACATATAGAGTGGCACAAAGGCTTTTGAGGCCTTCTCCCTCACCCTTAACTTTGATGTGGCAAGCATCTGGCGCTGGATCTCAGACTTCATCCACCGGCAGAGAACTCCAGCTCCCGCTTTGTGATGGCACAGGAAGCCATCGTATGTCCTGCCTCTGAAAGAGAGAGCGGACGGCCATCTCTGAAGCCAAGCAAGCCAAGGCGCCGGGGCAGAGTCGGCGATACAGGGAGAAGCCGGCCAGGAGGCACAGGCCAAAGCCAATCAGCACAAGCAGAACGACCAGAAAGAGAGTCAGCACAACCCTGCAGCAGGGCTGGCTCTACGTCCCATGTCAGCAGGGTGATGCCTGCCTCGTTTCGGGCGTCGCTGTCTCAACCAGGAAGGCCGAGACGGTGAGAAACACGAGCAGGCCCATGTTGAGGAAGATGTCGCCCAAGCACGCGACATGTGTGGCCCAGGGCAGCACGTTGCTCGTCATGGACAGGTAGACGGTCTCACCGGAACGAAGACACAGGGAAGCGGAGGATGCGAAAAAAGAAAGGTGCAAGAATAATCTGTAACATTCTACATGCCAGGATGCCAGCAGCACAGACAGGGTCAGAATCTGCACTGCAGCAGCATTCGCAAAAACGATCGGCACGAGAGCAGCCACCAGCTTTTGCAGCAAGAAGATGGGACCTACAACCAGAATCAGTGATTCGATTCGCCTACAATCCCTAACGAATTGCACAGGCCCGATAGTTTCAGCCAGGGAACCCCAGTAGTAGGCACTGTCCTTGAACCTGTGAAACAGGAAGCGGTACTTCGTGAGCAACTTCAAGCCAGAGCCCCTGCTGACCAACGCAGGGTATCGCAGCACGATCTGCACGATGTAGGCCAGGAATCCCGCGCCGTAGACCCCCAAGCCGAGCAAGGAGCACAAAGCCAAAGGAATATGATCCGGTTCCCAACAAACCACTGCCGGGTCTGTCACCATGGTCTGAAGACCGTTGGGATTTGAGGTGCAATGAATCGGTTGTGTCATGGACATGCAGATTGTAAGGTACAAGACCATGACCACCAAGCCAAGAGCATTGAGATAGCTGGGCCAAGTGAAGCGTTCACGCTTGCAAGATGCCGCAGCAGCACCCAGGAAACCGCCGCATGAGGCTAGGAAAGGAATGAAAAGCATCTTTGTGATCATCATCATAAGCGGGTCATCTGTAGCGACCTGAGGGTTGTTTCAGAAGACTGAAGAGCCCCCTAGACTTAAACCAAAAGAATTCAATCACACGTTTTCTAGCACAGCTTGCGGCAAGAATCATAGCACGCGATACGCAGAGATCTCAAGTCGAAGTTCACAAGCTGCATCAATGATAGAACGCTTCTCACTGGCTCCTCCCACGCGAGGGAAAGATCTCGAAAAACTCCTTGGGAAAACGTAAACAAGCCGAACACACAGGCTGCACCCGGCGGCTCTTAGTCAGCTTTGCATGATCGAACAGAAAAGGCAGCAAAGGCTCCCAAGGTTTGGACGAGAACCTGACACTGTCTCTCAAGTCCGATGAAATTTCAAGCAGGCTCGACTTTGCGCAAACATCCTGTCACATGAAGGCTGAACACGATGCTGGACCTCCAGGCGTATCCAAGACCTAACATGAAAGAGGCAAAGGAGCCCCTGCTTGTGACACGATGAGCATCATTGAGATCGTAGCTCTCGAGCTTCTCACGAAGGCCATTCGCCTCAGCAGGATCAACAGGGAGTTGAATGATATCCCGATGCGAAAGCGCCCGCTAATCTGCGAACATTCCTCGAAAGAGCCAGCTCTGGTACGTCAGGACGTGAAGTGTTGCTAAGCTGGCTCAAACAAGTGTCATATACGCCGCGAACGAGAGGGTGAGGAAAGCCACAGCCACTGTCGCCAGCAAACCAGGCACTGTGTCGTCTGCGGAGCACTGCTGGCAGGATCCAAGCCTTGCTGGGAAGTGATTATCCTCGCACCGGCCACAGGCGATGTCCTGAGTCGGGTGTAAGGAATCCGGGCCAGAAGGGAACCACCCCACAGGTCAGGTCAGGCGCCTGACGCCCCGCCGCACAAACGTATCCGGGCCAACCACCGCGGCACTGCAAAGTATCGATGCACTTGAACCTCAGCTACGCAGAGAGAGCACTGAAGACCTGCTCTTTCCGCAGCCGCGTGAGTATCTCTTGCAGCTACGGGGCACTGACAACGGCTTTCCTGGATCAGACCAATAACCTCGACGGGATATGGGGTTTCACGGACAGGCTTTGGGTCGTCATCCGGGAGATTGAGACGGCCTGGCTTCAACTCCGGCGGAGCATGCTCACAGTCAAGGTCCTGCTAAAACGGAAGACCAATCGTGGAACTACAGACCCCCGGCCCCCAGCGCTTCTTTTCTCACATCCTCGATGTTGATGTCACAGTACGTTCTGGACGTGCACTCCTCTTGTCCAGAGCAGATTCAGTGGCAAAAAGTCACACAGCTGTGCGAACACATGTCTCCTCCAGACTTGTCAGAGCGAAGGAAGAGCAAAAGTCTGCGACGCGCTGCATAGCGTCCTCTTGAAGACGTCTAGGCCTTTTGTCCTGAACAGCCAACGGCTACGGCAGATGCTGCCGGCCCCAAATTTTTAGGACTGATGAACCAGGAAGCTTCGACCTTCGAAGCCCGCATCATGGTGGGCAGGCGAGTCGCAAGAGAAGTGTTCTTGAAGATGATGTCCCGAGCACCCCGACAGATCATGCCCTGCCCGGCGTCTCGATTGAATTCATGTCGGCGCTTCGAGTTGATGTCTGTGCTTTTCTTGGCGACGTGTACGGTACAAGCCCTAGCCAACTGTCTATAGTCTATAGCTTCTGCCCTCCAAAACCCAGAATCTTAGACTGTTTGAGCAGGTGTAGACCGACCCTCTCCTCAGGGCAGGGTTGACATCTTCCCAGGCGAGCACAGGGCATGGGTACGCCAAAGATGTCCTTCTTCTCTTCTCCCTCGCAGGTGTCGACATGGTACCTCAATGGATTTTCGACTTTCGGGTTTCTCTTTGGGCTTAGGGTTGTCAGAATTCCTATCCGTGCCGGCCGGGAACTTGCCATTGGGCAGAGACAGCGAAGGCCCAGGACAAACGCATGCCTTGGCTCGCCATCTCCCAGCGACGATAACTTCGGAGCTTCAGAGCCAGCCGAGCTGTCAAACTCGAGTGCACTCCATTGCTTACAAGCAAAGGCGGATGCCCGACAGTTTGCCTTCAGCAATACTCACTGGCTCTTGGAGCTGTGATCGAGCCCACTGCAGCATTGTCAAAGCAAGAGCTTGATGCCGAGCTGCAAACTCATCCGTGGAGCCGGCGGAAGTGGTCGTGAAGCCCTCTTTGCATGTCTTGGCAACTGCCTGGCCTGTCTCATTCCTGGACGTGATTCAGAAAAACTGGAAATATCGGAATTGCACACTTCTCAAAACTGGGGTTTCCAAATCTTGACACCTTGCTAACGACTACCGGGAGGCGTGAAAGCCTCTGCGTGTGCTACAGGCCTCTGCATTGCAGCGGCTTCGCCGCGAAAACAACTGTAATCGCCGCAGGATACGCACGGATCTGTGCAGGAATGATACAGCCGAGACAGAGACAGCAGGGCCCCTCATAGAGCCATGGACTCGCAGATTCGCGGATTTGCGCACTGCACACACGAAACAAATTCACACACGTTGGATTCGTGAACCCCGCACCAATGCTAGTTCGCGGCTGAACGCTCCTTAACAGGACTGCCTGCCCAGCAGTCTTTTGAGATTAGTCGACGAAGATACTTGGCATGACACAGGTCGCTTGTTGCGGGGAACCCGAGCAAAGCACCGTCTCGCTGACCCCCTTTAGTGTCATATTGTTCTTCCGCGAATCGGGCCCAGTGGCCGAATCATGCTTTTACATTCCTGGACAAGAGTGCACAACATGTGCTGTGCATGGGCGCTTTGGTTGTTATTCGTCGAGCGGCCAAGTCAAGCATGGACCATGCTTTGCAGGCAAGCCTCTGGAAGGTTCCAGGAGGTGCCCGAAGGCATGTGTGTACCGGAGCTGAAGCAGGTCGAAAGAAGCCTGCAGGCAGACACCAGAATTCCGTGGCATGCGTGCACACAAATACTCTCTGAGCCCTTTGAGCAGAACCTGCGCAAAAAAAATGGAGTAGTGAAGTGTAAAGAAAGGCAAACATGGGCAATACACCGGCATCCTCACCTTAAACTCTCGTGCGGACAAAGTCACCTTTGTCGCATGGCTTGCAATCCTTAGGCTGGCAGACTTCGGCAGTATTGAATCGGAGAGCTAATGTCTGGAAAGACGGAAGCGAAGATGCCGTCAAGGTTCGGCACTTGCAATGTCGAAAAAGGTTCCAGGCACACAATCCAGGTTCCATTGCAATTCAACATAGCCTCGGTCACCTCCACCATGCTGTTCCATGTAGGTGGCGAACGGGTCACGGTTGCCCCAGGCATAGATCAGGCCAAGCTTGGCACTTTTGGCCTTCAAACCACACAGCCAATCCCAAGAGTACCAGGACAAGCTCTACAAGCCAAACTCAACTTTCTTTGTCTACTCAGCATTACTAGGACTATGACTGTTGCACCCATGCTTTGCCAAAAGCTTGAAAGTCTGGATAGAACATCCAAGGAGCAGGGAGCCTGATGTCGTATGCATCTTCTGTTGCGAATGCTCGCTTGAATTGTACCAGGCTGAATCCAAGGCTGCAAGTGGCGTCCGAGCACCATTCAAGTCCGGGCAAGCCCAAGCTGCCTGGGATTAGAGTCAAATCGTTTCTCCCGTTGAGCAAGTTGCCCACATCGTCAGGGCGTTGGTCTGCGAGCATCTCGTCTTTAATCGGCTCCTCGATCGAAAATGCGAACCGGTCCTGCACAACTGCTTGTCCATCCTCCACGAAGGCAACCTGAGGACAGTCTCTGGCAGTCATGAGTGTCTGGAAGGATTCTTTGGCAGATTGCAGGCCATCCTCAATCAAAAACCATGGCACAACCATGTCGGTTCGGACCATAAGACTGGATTCGTCGCGGGAGGGGTTCAGCCAGCCAATGCCCATCCAGCCTTGGACACATCATGTTGTGATCACTATTGTACTGTCGGGAATCGCAGTCCCGCCCGTATCTCCGCTTGCTGCCACGAAGCCCCGCGTCTTCGCACAAAGCATGACATTCACATACTCTTGCAAAAACTCAGGCGTGTAGAAGATTGTATAGTGAGGGCCTGGATGAATCGACATGAAGGCGGACTACATCCGATTTCATGATCACGGTGACGGTTGTGCGACGTGCAAAAGCGATGTTTTGGAGTTTCGCAATGTCGCACGTGAACGTAGAAGTCCAGCACACCATGTAAGTACGGTCCTACAAACTCTACGGCGTTTATTGGTCCCACTTGCCTAGACTCTTGAAGTTGCCATAGCCCCAGTCCATGGCAAAAGTCGCATTGATGAGAAGCAACTCCTGCACGCGACTTGCTAGGATTTCACCAGACATTAGCAGCTGTCCCCCAACACTTCTTCAGGTGACCTGAGAGAACTCCACGATCGGGGCCAGCACCCCGTCCGCATAAACCGGCTGACCTGGGCTAATACAGGGGCCTCAATGATCAAGATAGGGTCCACCATGCTATAGTTATGATAAGTCACCCCCAAAATACTATTGGTGAATATTTAGGCCCCGGTTGTATGCCCACGAGACCGACTCAACAGCGCCAGCTTCCCGGCCTCGCCGCGCCGTGTCCTGCGAGAAGCGGGTCAGTGCCTCGTTGATCAAGCCCGTACGAAGAGTCGGCTGGCTTCCATTAGCATCCTGGGAAAGCAGCTCTGCAAGACCCCGACGATTTGTTACCCGGAACGTTTGGAGCCACCGGTCGGGCAGGTAGGCCCACATTGTCGAAGAATCTTGCTTCAAGGTTGCGATTCTGGGGCTTGTCCCCGCTAAGGAAACGCGACGTATGCAACTCTCGCACCGAAGACCGAATGGATGCCAAATTGACGTGGAATCTATCCTCCAACATCCCATCTTGCATTGGCGAGATGCCTAGTGGCCTAGCGAAACTGGAAAGATGGTATCGTGGCTACTGTTGCGCAGCTGGGCTAATGGACATACCGGAGACCTGCGACACCGAGTGTAGTGGATCTTTTGTGTTGCGATTTCTGCATAAGTGCAGCCAGGTCAATCTGTGCAGACTGCACACGGTTGCCAAGCAGAACGCAAGAGAGGCGATGGAGGTTGTGATGAGGAAACATGCCGGGAGATCGAGCTGCGAGCCGATGAGGCTACAGGCACCCAAGAAAGCTTGTTGGACTACACCCGTCTCCTGCATCGTGTGCGCAAAGACCAGTTCGTGTGCCGACCACCGTCCACCAAGCGCATTGAGCTTCCCGAAGAGGCCAGGAAAGATGTCGAAGCGCGTTGCTACATCCTGGGCTGATAGCCACAAGCTGAGCACCTTGTCGCGGGAATCTCAGTTCCAAGCCCAGGATCGCTTGGTGCACTGCCCGGTCGTGTCAACAGGTCAATGTCCTCCTGCAGGCCCTGTGGAACCAAGGACCTTGCCACATAGTAGACCGCAGTGTGCTGCAAGCACATGTTCCCCGAATCTATCCTGGCAGGGATAAGGAGCCGGGTCATTCTTGCACTGCTCTGACAGCACAATAGCACGGCCTGTCGGTGGCAACCTGTTGATCTCGCATCATCTCATCTACGGCCTCACAAAATACTGTCAGGCTGAAGAACACGAAACTTGGTCAGTTTCCATGTCTCAGCTCATGATTTGGATAAACGTCACAATGCTGCAGAAAGATGCATAGCCACATAGTTGTGAACCAACATCTTGAATTCGCGCGTCTAATCCCGTGAAGTAAATGATGCTTGGTGTACAACGGCATGGCAGAGTGCTGGTGGCTGGTGGCTTTTGCGCTGCAACCCCGACGAAAGTTAGTCAGTCCGGTCTGGTGAGCACATGGCAACCCAATGGCATGGATCCCCAGCCCATACTCACATTGTGTGCACTGCACCGGGCGGAAATCTGTTGCCCATCACTTCCCAGAGCTACTGAAACACTGGCAGTCCCAATTGAGGTACTTTGAACCAACTTGTATATGATTTGGGTACATGGACCCTTAGGGTATGCCACCCAGCGCTCCACTTGCTTTGGCCTCGCTGCGGATGGGGCTCGAAGCCAAGGAGGGCTGGGAGGCAGAACCTGCGCTTAGTGCCGATCTCAATCGGGCTCCCGAGAGTGGCGCCCGGGCGCCCGGCATTCTCGCTTGAAGCATTGCCGGGACGCGCTGGAATTTGTCACCGACACCTGTCCAGCTGCAGATAACTCGCCTCAAGCAACTTAATCAAGCTGCCCTTCTGCCCCTTGTCGACTTATGCTTGTTCGAGTCTCTGCTGACATTGGCTCCTGTTGTGTGCATTACTTGGTGTGTGGCTGGGTATGTTCTTCGACTCCTTCGATACGAAAGAAGTGACTTGCTCCACGGGATGGCAGCAAAGGTTCGAATTTGGTGCACTTTGGGACAGTCTGCAGGCAGACACGCAGAGATCAGCAGACGAAAGAGGGCGGCCTGCACAACATCGCCAATGTAGAGGCCGAGCTGGTTGCTGTACGCATACGGCCTCGCACATCTTTAGCATGACCATCACTCGTCAGCACCTCCCCTAAAGTACAGGCCTCAAGAAAACAATTCCATCAGGAACCTGGCCAGGGTCTAGCCACAGGCATCGCCAGACAGAATAGACAGAATACAGGAATGCAGCACTAAGAGGATGCGGTTCCCACACCTCGAAAGCGCAAGGGCCAGGGGACGGGTCTGTCGGCAGCAGCTCACAGAGCGCAACGAGGTTGCCCAGATCATCCAAGGCCTGAGAGACATTCGGAAGCCGGCCTCTGTAAACATGCAGTAAGTGGACAAGCCCACATAGACCTCGTTCAGCAGTTTAGCAGAGAACAAACCTAGGGATGCTATGGCACGGTGTGCCCTGCACAGCAACTCAATCTCAATATCTGGGCAGCTCCAAGACTCAGATTGTATGAGAAAGAACTTCTAACTTATGACGTAGGCTTGCAGCCATCTCGCTTCGTGCAACCTTGTAGCGTAGACATAAGACACCCAGTGCACGATGTCTTTGGCACCGGAAGCCGTCAGAGGCAGGAGCTGGTTCTGGCTTTCATTGCCAGTCCGCACCTTGGAGTCTTGGAGCTCAAACCGACGGTGCTTCTCTACCTGTAGGATTGTCAAGGCTGTCCGCACACCCTCATTATAGATGTGCCGGATAAAGAACTCGCTTCATGTAGTGACAACTACTTTCCCTCGTGGAATTACAAGGAGAACGGAGTTCGTACTCGAAGGGAAGGTAGAGCACGTATTCGATCACGGCCAGACTCACAGAGTCTCCATTTCATCCCGGCAGACATAACGCCTAGGTTTTTCAGCCCAAGCTGACGATTCCCACGCAAGACCGCTCCGCGGTTTTCTGCCGTCTTGTAATTATGCTTGCAGGACACCCCACACAGACATACATAGACCAACCCACAAACATTTAGAACTAACCGTTAAAGAAATCCGGCAACTCTGAGCAAGGACACTTGATAGACGCTACGCATGGCAAGTCAGCACATCAGCATCTTGAGACGCTGGCCACTATGGTCGCTGTGGTGCCATCCAACGCTAGTGAAGGCGAGAGTCCTGCATGTGGCGAGTTAGTGAGTTAGGTCACAACCTGCTGCAGGTCTGAGCTCGCAGCTCGCCACGCCTGTCGGATCGTACCGGGGCACCTCTTGTCTGCGCCGCAGCTCGGCTGTGAAGGATTGGCATGCCGATACCTCGAGTCCGGGACGCTTCACTCGTTGAACTAGCATGTGACTTCTGGCAATGCTTTTTCGCCGCACAAGAGGTGCAACCGTGCCCTGCGAGCGGACGAGTTGCAGAAGAACCTTCCAGGCACTGCTGCACGGAGCAACCAACTGCTGAAAAAGTTCGAGTTCAATTAGCTCTGCCTGGTGAGGCCTCCACGATCCGAGGGGCAGCGTGTTTACGATGCATTGACGCCAAGGTGACAATGTGCCTGAAGTGAACTATCTACTGCTGTTGGGCCAACAGCTTGGATGCAGGGCTCCCACAAACATAGCTGAGGGGCTAGTTGTGTGGGGAAACGGTGCTCGTAGTTCCAAGCCCCTACTACATCTTGTTGTGAACCGGTGCGCCGTGCTGTGTTGGTTGCCAACGCCACCTTTGAACAGAGAGCAACATTTCATGCAGCTGCGATATTTGCATGCTGCCTCGGCAACTCCAGGGACCCTTCTCGGAACCGTCGCGAGATAGAGCTCGAGAGACACAAACAACAAGAGAGAGAGAGAGAGAGAGAGAGAGAGAGAGAGAGAGAGAGAGAGAGAGAGAGCGCGCGCTGAGGTCAGTGCGTAATTTTGCATGGTCCTGGTTTCTATCGTGTCTTCGCGTGTACGGTTTGTACCATTACGTAAAGGCAGACAGCGGTAAGCACGCCAACCAAGCCGTTCCATCTCTGCACATTCCTTGCCAACGCGACCTCCATCCCCAGACCACATAGGCCGGCACAAATTCAGCGGCGGGGGCGGCATGCATGCCCGACGGAGATACAATACTCAAGTTATCGTCTTACCGATCTGGTGAATATGCAATACAATCATATCAACCCCCTTTGCATGCGGCTGTGCCTGAAATGCTACGCGTCACTGGAGCGTGGACTTCATATGGACAACGATCGAAGCAGCCGGCATACTCTGACAGTCTGAGCAAGCTCTTGACTCCACTTGTCCTCAAAGGTGTTCTGCCCATCCTTCGCTGCTCAGGATGGATGTCTTAACTTGCATTGGTGTCAGCTACCCAGATAAACATGACAAAGGCTCGCCGGTTACAGCATGGTAAGGAGGAGTAAAGCCCAAGGCTTCATGCCAGAGATGGGAGTCTGCCTTGAAGGACTCGCAATCAAGTTCGACTGCGAAACGCACCTTTGCAAGCATCAAACCAGGGGCACGTTTCATCGCTGTCTTCGCAAGCCACAACAAACGCCTTTGACGTTGCCCCGCCTCAACTTTCGGACAGTACGTCCTGTGGCAAGAAGCCTCTGAAGCGGCCGATGCCTGCCCGTGTGGCACCGAGATGTGATCACCTCGAAAAACACCGTGCCTGTTGCCTCAAGTGCAGCATGCTCAAACAAAGACCACCCAGGAAAAAGGTCGGAGCTGTCACGGGTAGTCTACACCAGTGAAGGCCAAGCTTCAGCGTGCAAAAGGCGTCATGTTCGTCGTACCGGAAGGAATTAGGAAGGAATGCATAGGGAGACCGCCCTCAGCCGGAAGAAACTCACGGCCGGAAACGAAGTTACCTGCCGCATCTTCTATCCAGACAGTCGTGATCCAGTGAATGTCATCGGGATCGCTGGATCCGCTCATGGGATGTAGAAGGACGGAGCCATTCACCAACTCTCCAACCACCAAGCCGGCTGAACCGTTGCCATGTAGAGTGAGAGTGGGCATATGCTCCAAACTGAGTGCAGCAGAGGAGGCATTCTGCCATTGCAAGTAGCTCCAGTATTTCGCACTGCAGTTCTCGTCCGTCCACTGTGCGCAGGATGCAAGGCTGCAGCTACGTTGCAAGCCTTGCACTGTTTGCATGGGGTCAAGCCGTAGAGTCTGTCCTCGAAACATCCCGTGAATGTTGCAATGCACGAACCCCGTCATTGTACGAGTGCCATCTGGGACTGAGCATACAAGCATGGCTGGCTCCGTCTCGTCAGGATCCAACCGGCGCATACAAAGAATTTCGCCGGCTTCGTCTTCTATCCACACGGTGTCAACCCAGTGAAAGAAAGGTGGGTCATCCAAGTACCTTCCCGGTCAGTTGAACTAACTTCAACTCCGACAGACAACCCACCAAATCCGGCCGAGCCTCCCCATGGGGTGAACAGGGTCCACAGCGTTGCCAGTTACGGCACCAAGGCCGACCACCACTACTACCTGTCGGCCATCCACTTTGAGGAAAGCTTTGTGAACCTGGTCTCCTGGCCGAACCGGAGCTCCAAGTGAATGCAGATGGCACAGCGCAAGATCTACCAGAATCCAGCAGCGAGCACTCTCTGCGACAGCATGGCCTCGTGCATCTGCATCAAAAGCCTCGAAATTTGCTTCGCCATGCTCCTAGTGGGACCACAGATTGGACGAGTTGAAACTGCTGGCAACAGCTGGTCTCTCCACAGCCTCACGCTGCCGCCGCCAGAGCTCCGCACGCCAAGCTTCACAGGCCAGACCCCAGGGAAGGAAGCGAAGCGCGGTGCACAGCACCTCAGCGTAACTCACGTTTAAGTTTTCGGACGAACAGGGACGTTTGAGATGTAGGCAAGGTGCCAGGGCTCGAAGGATCATAGGTCATGCCGCCATGCCTACTGCATCTACCCTACATCCTCGTAAGAGCCCAGGGCAGCTTCGAGGCCGTGCACTGCGACAACCCAATTGCCACAGCGACCCGAGCTTCGTCGGAAGCATGCTGTCTTGTAGAAGCATGGCGCGCCAATCAAGAACGGCGATCATCGCAATAGACTAAGAACTTTATCCTCGCCTCGTTCCACGTGAATACATAGCCCTGTACATGGCCCGTGACCTGGCACAGCTACTGAGCGACACGACCGACGCGAGATTTTCTGGACTGGCCTTGCTCGATCGTGGTGCATCTCCCAGTACGGAACCGGTACCCGAGACCTCATTCGGAGCGCAACAACAGAGTCTTCTTCGCCTAATCTTCGTGCACGCTCTATTCTATGCGTCGCTTCCGCCTTGTGTATAGTTCCGAGTGCTTACAAGAAGTTTTGAGTAAACACAAACAACCGCCGCAGAAAACACGGACAACCAACTGTGTCGGAGGGCGAGCCTGAATTGAACCCCCTTGACAACTCCGGCACCATAACACAACCGGGGCACCACACCAACGAACAACTATCCGAAAATAGATCGTTCAAATTTTGTACCAACACTCACTCTTCCGCCTCGCGAACGTCAGAGCTATAGCTGAACTGGGTTGAGCAATACGTGCAGACTGCCACCATAGACATCTCGTGCGAAAAGGACGGCAAAGTTAGGAACCCAGTGACCATCAGCTCTGGAACCATTCAAGACGGATCCAAACTGATCCCTGAGAACAAGAGCCCATAAAAGTTCGGAGCGATGCACCTTCTTCCGCCCAACAAAGCCAACAACGTCCCCACCTAAGTAGTCCCTCTGAATCTTCACTTCGGGAACTGTAGCTACGTTTATGCCGCAGGATTGCATGGCCGTAGTGACATTGGTTTTCATCTTACGGATAAGTCGAGAAAACTGCATTCCCGGAGCCAAGAATCCTCCAATAAAACCATGTTTGAACACAAAATCAATTACAGTGCAATCACTGTACAAGAAATGGTTGGATAAGAAACGTAGGGGCTACGTCAACCGGATAGCACCAAAAAGCCCAAAATTCAAAACGCCTTCTAACTAAGAAATGAAGGGTACCCAACGTTTTAGGGTAATTTCTTATTTGGCTGGGCGGTTAACTTCTTGATTCGGGTGTTCTCAAGCCTCGAAAACCCGTTTGGGGGTTTTCCAAGAGCCAACAAGAAACGTAGGGGGCTACATTTCTTATTTTGGGTGGTTTCCAAGGCTTAAGCTTAGGGCACACGACAGGAGCCAAAATAAGAAATGTAGGGGGCTACATTTCTTGCTTAGGGTGGCTCCCAAGGCTTAAGCTTAGGGCACACGACAGGAGCCAAAATAAGAAACGTAGGGGGCTACATTTCTTATTTTGGGTGGTTTCCAAGGCTTAAGCTTAGGGCACACGACAGGAGCCAAAATAAGAAACGTAGGGGGCTACATTTCTTATTTTGGGTGGTTTCCAAGGCTTAAGTTTAGGGCACAGTGCAGGAGCCAAAATACGAAACGTAGGGGGCTACATGCCTTATTTTGGGTAATGCTGCCTTAGTGGTGTCTGTCTAGGCTAATGGCAAAGGCATTGGCTTAGTAGAGTGCAGCTGAACTACCATGGGCTCGAGCCCCGACTAAGAAATGAACAAGAAACGAAGGGTACCCAACGATGCAGAAGTTGGGAAATGTGGAAATATGAATGTAACAGGAAGCTAAGAAATGAAGGGTACGCAAGGCTGGAAGCTGGCATTTCTTATCCAGTAGATGCACTGTACCAGTTCCATCCACGGCTTCCTGCTATCATAATCGACAGTGGGTACATACCACTCTCCATCTCTGATGAAGTCAATTATGGCCGTCAAAGCCGAAAGATTCTTGCGCATACATCCCCAATGTCTTCAAGCATGATGGCACAATGAAAAGGAACGTACATGTGAGCTTGGCCCAAGGCTGAAGCGAATCGAGGGTATGTTTGGCGAAAATAGATCGTTCAAAGCGTCATTCTTTGCACGCTTGGTTCCGAGAGCGGTTTTCATATTATTGACGAGGGTGTCCGAATGCCGAACGCCTTAGGCTTCAGCCAGGTTGTCTCCAGACTGGAGAAAAGTGTACCTGAAGGGACAAAAGTATCCAACACGTGCGCAGGCACAGCTCTGACGCCCAAACGGCTAGCGACTGGGTCATGGGCTGAAAAGTCGTAAAGGGACCTTGGATCTCCGTCGCTCCATGCTGGCACAAGGAAGAAGAGCTCGAGCGCCACGCGCTGCACCGTCACCGACCATGAGCCCGTAAGACCCTGAGGCTCAAGTCGTGCTTCGTTGCCTGCCATAGCAATACACGGAGCTTGAGTGGCAGGGATGAGCGTGAGCATTGTGCCTCGTGTCTGCTTCTTTGGTGGCAGGAACAAAGCGGTAGATGCCTCCAGCCAAGAAGATGAACCCATCTGATTGCCAAAACTCTACGCTCGGCATGGGACCGACCGCTTGCTGCCCGCAGTCCTGCTACAGAGTCAAGCGAGCGACATAAAGCCAGCTGCTGCAAGCACTCAAGTTGCAGTTGCTTTGGACAGTTGGTCTTTTCGGCTTTCTCTTTCTTCTCGCCGACTGGAAGCTCGGGACCAATCGCCTGAAAGCTCATGGCCCACAGTCTCGGCAGGCTTTCGTGCACCAGCCCAGGCACCCGGCCCTGACTGCAGATGAACAACCTGCGCAAGACGAAAGCACGCTCAAAGTACGCATGGCTCTTTTGCAAATCGCTGGGCAGAGGCTGCGGAAGTGTTTATCGGTGGATTTAACGTCATCAGAAACTTGAGCCTGAATCCATGTTCGCTGTGGCATCGCAAATTTGGTAAAAGCAGTAGCTCGGAGCGCACGAAGCCGTCGGTCGTGTTGTACTCGATTGACATGAGAATGAAGCTTCGGGGTCAGACGCTTTTCCAGCTGGGTGCTCACGAGACACTGTGTACCAGAATTGTGCAAGGCTCGATGTGTGGGGCTGTACTGTGAAGGACCAGGAACCGCAAACTGTGCGAAACCCTGGGCGAGGCAATGGTGACAGATGCCTAGAAGTTTGAAGTGGCTTCAACAGATGGTGGGTGAGCGTACCGGCATCGACTGGGGCCGTTTCAGCTTTGGTAGTCACGTTCTCACATGTCTGCATGAGTTGAGTCAGAGAACATGCAGCTGCCACATTGCCACCGGTATCAGTCTTGCAGAGCTCATGAGAGCGTTTTGCAACTCGCACTGCCCGTCTGGAAACTCGGAGCTGCCGATAAGTAATAAAATAAAGGAACAATTGGGGCCACATGCCCTCACTCTGGCTACCTCCGCTTTGCAGCTGGGCCTTATGCTCACACCGGCATGTAATCCGAAAGATGCTAAGCTGCGCTTCCACGGAAAGCCTTCGAACAGAGTGTCTGGCTTTCACCACCGGATAGATATCGCTTCACACCACCACCACCCCCATAACCTTGCAGGCAGACACGGTCACCACTGCGCTTCCCGAGCTGTGTCGTCAAAAAGATCGCCGGACAGAATCTCAGTGATCAACCTGTCTGCTCTCGGCTGACGGCGGCCTGCAGAGACTCAACTTGCAGCCTACTGGTTCGATAGAACATGTCCGAAGACGCCAAAGCATCGGAAAGCGTAGTCATGTCGGAAGTGAAGGTGCATTTGCAGCATCTGGCCTTCATATAGCCTGAAGGGTTCTTCACCTGGAAACAGCAATGGATGAGATTGAATGCCTGTCCGTTTATCTGTTTGACGAACACAAGGAGACAAGCTTGCAACACGCCTGAAGCAAGAATCAACATCCCACATACACCGGACTTTGCTAGGCATGAAGTGGAGAAGCGATTTTGTGAAGTGCAGCCCTTGTGAAAAGTATTTATTTGGGCCCGCATTCTCAGAGTGAACCCGGGCCTCGGAGCCTTTGTTTTCGAGCTCCTTCAGCATCTCCAGCGCTCTCTGCAGCGATAAAGACGCCAGAGCCTGCGAGATGCAACCGATCCTTCAACCCTTTTTTTTGCATCGGGCCTTTACCACCGCCCGGTAATCCCCACATCCTTCAACCCTAAACCCTAAACCGCATTCTGGGCCTCAGTTGTTTCTGCATCGAGAGGACTGTGGACGAAGACCTCAACTCGAGCTGCGTGCCGTAACCCAAAATGGGCTCTTAAGCAGGCAGCTCGATACGAAGCTGAGATGCCAAGAGCAAGTTCTTGCCGGTTCACTGTGCTCCGCCGCCAACAAGTATGAAATCGGACACAGGGCTGCAGGAAACTGTTGAAAATAAAGTCGACTGCGTCTATCACGTCTGCAGACAGGAATTGAAACAACTCACATCTGTAAAATTCTGTAAACCTTGGCGATGGGGACTTGGAAAGTCGCTCGACGGAGTGATGAATAATGTTCTTTCGCATGCACGGTGGCTTGGCAGGGGCGTGTCTGCTTCCGAAGCTACCTTGACAGGCTCCATGTCTGCGAAGCAGTCTGACGCCCGGACATTGTTGTTTAGCCATTTTATCCGCCTCCGTCAGTCGACATCACAACGGAGTCTCCTGAGCAAACTCTGCTTCATGCCAGGCCTATGCAGCTTGTCGTAGTTCGAGTAGTCTGATGTTTGACCACCCTTGCGCAAGGCCGCAAGACAGGGAGTTGCGGACGGCTGATGCTGAAGTCAATCACACAGCGGCCAACACGTCGGCGCAAGCTGCTGCTCCACCTCTACAGCTACCCAGAAGGCCCTTCAGGCAACATCCGTTCGTTCGCCCTGGGATGTGCGTATGTAATTAACTTGTCTCCACTTCACAAATGTTCAAAGAGCCAGTAGGGCTTCAGGATCCCGGGTTTGTGTTGGCTCGGAGCTCCTAGGAAACCCTACACCCTCTGCGGCCTTGGCATTGCCAGCCTGAAAGCTCATAGGAGCCGGCGCCTCATCTTGGCATGTCAGACACGAGAGGAGGAGATCCTTCCCTGCTACGGCCGAACACGCAGCCGCGGTGCCATGCTTTGCGGAGGTGGAGCCAGACCCTCGCGAGAAGCAGCGGCTTTCAGCCAATTAGCTGGGTTCCTTGCATCAGTCTGGTGAGCATCAACAGACACCAGCGGCTGGGCTAACCCTGCATCCAAGTATCCGCATACTGTCGGATTTCTCTTGGATTTCCTTCACAGATCGTGCTTGCGCTTAACCTAAAACTTTTGTAGCTCTTCGGTCCTGGAGGAGCTCCATGGCCCGCGCTAGGCCCAAACCATACATGGCACCAATTGCCTGCGACTAGGCTCATAACCTTGCATGCTGGGTACAGATTGGACCAGGGATATATGATGTTTGAGATGTACCTAAGACTATTTTGAGCGAGACCTGTACGAAAAATCTGAGAGGAAGTTTGAGAATGACTTCGAGAGTAGCGAAGCATGTAAGAAGATGTTGGAGAGGGACTTTGAGAGGATTGAAACATTCGCGAGTTTCGGATTGAGCTTTATGAAGGTGGTTGAGAGTGCTACTGGGACCGGCTGGGGTGGCTTCGCATGTCTGGTTTCGGAGGAAGTGGCTACTTAGCCCTCCTACCCGTCCGGTCGGCATCTGACAGGACTCCTCTCAAATTCGAGAGGAGCCTTTACTCCTCTGAAACTTAAGAGGAATTCAAGATTTAATCTTAGCCAAGCACCAACTGTCCCGGGCTAAAACGCCTCATCGTCAATCTTCCGATCGGGAAAGACGTTGGCATTCCTGCGCACCACGAGGAGCCGCAGCTCACACGCGAGCGGCGCTCGTGCCCCGCTCCGGAAAAAGCGACTAGCCGCTAGCCCAGCCTTCTGCACTTTACTAATCAAAGCTTCTGCAGCCGGCCTGGCACTTGCAGCCAAGAGGCATCCAAGTTACCCTCCTGTGTATCTTCGTCTGTTCCTCCGGAGATGCGGGGCCACTCAGCCTGGCAACCTAACCGAGGCCAAACAGAGCGAAACTCAAAAAAGCAGTCACCAGCCCACAACTTACCTTTGGTTGGTAGGGAATGGAAGAATGGTAGTAATAATAGTTATAATTGTACCCCATTCCTCCATTCCCTTGTAACCAAAGGTAAGACAAGAAATCAAGCAACGCTGGGGTGCCCACTGTGCCCACCCTAGGAGCTGCTGTCAGATTCTGTGGCATTCCTGACCCTTCTCGCGCAACTGCCGTCTTCAGGTAGCTGCTCGGATTCTTTACCTGCCCGCTTTTCTCTTCAATCTCCTGTCCAGTAAAGAACTGTCGTGACACAATCAGTCTCCGGCCACGGCCTTGAAAAGCTCCATGGCGCGCGCAGAGTCCAAGGTCTTCATGGCTTCGATCGCCTGAATGCGAAGCTCGCAGCACGCACTCAGCACGCAGCTAAGCATCCGGGGGGGGCGCGTTCCGGGGCTAGGCCGGGCTGGGCCGGGCCTCGGGGTCGATGTGGCGGTCGGGGAAGACATTTCCGTTCAACCAGCTTGCCCTGCGCTGAATCTTCGTGGCCGGGTCCGGTCTGCGTGTGAAGGGAGCCAGGGCTAAGGCCGTTTGGGGCATGCCACGGCCCTGGCCAGAAGGGTTCTCTCGAGCCGCCGCAGTCTTCAGATAGGAACTGGGGTTCCGGATTTGCTCGAACTTCTCCTCGACTTCTTTAAACAGCTCCATGGCTCGAGCTCCACCGAGACTCTTCATGGCAACTATGGCCTCCGCAGTGAGATGCAGTGAGAAAGCAAAGCAAACAAACGCAGAGGGTACTTCGCATTATTTGTTATCCGCTGGCAGCCGCTACCAGTAGCATGTTGGTTTGGCTCTCCCGTCTGCCTCCTCATCAATAGGACGGTCCGGAAAGACGTTCCCGTTCAACCAAGAGGCTCTTCGGTGGATCTTTGTGTCGTCGGCACTTGACATGCCAGCTCCGGCAGGTCCGTGCATGGCCCTCGCTGGTGGTGCATAGACTGCCGGCATTGGCAGCGCCCTGGCCCTGGTCTGTTCCGGGTAGGGCCCGCCGGAAGCTTCCCGGGAAACAGCAGAGATGAGCCACCTGCTGGGGTTCTTTATCTGATCTTTCTTCTCCTCGCCACAGAGCTTCAACATTTCGACACTGACGCGGAAGGACAACACGCGCAAGCGGCAGGGCAAGGCACCTCAATCTCTTTGAAGAGTTCCAGGGCGCGTCTGGTCTCAAGGCTCTTCATGGCGATAACAGCCTCGCAGAGAAGACGCATTGAGAACGTGTGTGGAGCTGTCTTAGCCTCTGCTGCGCCTCTTGATCTATTGGCCGATCCTGCTTCGAAGCATCATGTCGGGTGCTGCTCATATGATACGGTACATGATAAGACTTCGGAACGCAGTCCTGGAAGACGTTGGTGCTCAGCCAGGTCGCTCTTCGATGAATCTTTGCTGGATCATTTGATTGGCTCGCAGCCTGCTTGGACACTGCTAGAGCTGCTAGAGAGTGAAGCAGTCAAACTCGAAACTGACGAGGCACTGCAGGTGCTGCTTCTCGCCCGGCTGCGGCCTGAGAGATAGAGAGAGAGAGAGAGAGGTATCAGACCCACTGGATCCGAGGAAAAGCAACAAAGCCTTGATATAGTTACTGGGAGTCTTGATCTGGTCGGCTTTTTCTTCCATCTCCTTCACCCCAAGTCTCTGCACAATGCCAATTCAAGATGTCCCCAAAAATGAGTCTCTCCTTGAGCATCTCCATTGACCGCGCGGCCCCCAGGTGGCACAAGGCGCCTATGGCCTCAACGATCCAATTCACTGCCCAGTGGCCTTATGTGGGCCCAAGCCCACCGAGCATCGTGCACGGGCATCCCCGTCCCTCTACATATTTC